GTAGTAGTGGCAGCAGCAGCAGCAGCCACAGCAGCAGCAGTAGCAGCCGCAGCAGCACAAAAGACTGTACAGACCGATGGCGCCGCGACGTGCACGTGAAACACACTTGTCAACAATAGTGACAATAGTGCCCATTCCGCATATTCATGTAGGTTCCGCGGTTTGTTGTCGTTGTCCTCGTGGTTGTGGTTGTGACTGGCGATGTTGTTGCTAATCTTCCTTTTCTTGCTTCTTCTTCTTGTTCTTCTTCTTGACGGCCGTGGCGGCGGTGGTAGTCCAGTCCTAGTTGTGGTGGTCGTGGTAGTCGTCATCGTACAGATGGTGGTGGCGGTAGCAGGATCAGCCCCTTGCGACATCTTGCGACTGGAGCTTGCCGTCGAGATTGACTGTATTCGATGCTAGGTTGAACGTGGTGTTTCATCCCGAAAAGTCTGCGTGCGGCTCTCAAGCGCTGAGCCACACTGAGCCCATCATGATCGCATGCACACCGGTCTCCTGTCGTGTCTTGTTTCAGCGCTGCCCAGGCCACCATTCTTCGGAGGCGACTGCCGAAAGTTGTGCACGCTGACGGCTGGAGCTCTGTTACGTGCATGTGATAGCTGCTTCAGCGGGTGAAGCCAATGGATGGTCTTCTCGCTTCAGCTGTGCGGCGGAGTTGCACAGGCGTGACAGTGTTCTTCATCGATCCACCCAGGTGCGCTGGTTGGAATGCTGTTACTGGGATGTTATCAGGATGTTATTTCTCGCATGCCTGGCAGAATACTGTCTATGCCTTACCTGAGAGGGAGTCAGGTGAATGCATGTTCTTGAGTGTGAGTCGATTCATGGAATACGTTCCGACACTGGCCGAATCAAGTTCAAAACCCGATGCCAGGCTGGGCATTGGGCACAACTGTGTGAGTGATGTGCTCGATTGCTACTGTAGGTATCTGTAGGTTAGATTGGCTGGAGAGGTCACGACAGATCCTGATTTTGTTGACGATATCCCTCAAGGGCGGCCACGGGCGAAAATCGAGTCAACACTCACGACGCCTTCGTTTGTAGAGATCCTCCTTCAGCTTGCGTTGCTCACTTCATTCTCAACGCATAGTGGAAGGCTGGACATGGATTTCACCGGGGCAGCCGACTTTGTGGACCTGCCCCTCCTTCACAATGTTGTGAGGCAACGGAGTCGGGCCGGGTTTGTGGATGAGTGGCCATTTCGTAGATGTGAAGTGGCTGTCCTAAGCCAAACAGAGCCAGGCCCAGGCAAAGATAGGCATGAGCAAGCCAAATTTTCATCATATCGAAACTGTACATGTTGGGTGTTATAACGGGGAAACTTGTAGCAAATACCCTGCTTCAGCCTTCACGTGACTTGGTCGATACCTTCGGCCTGTCAGCTGGCAGGTCCACCATTCTGCATGCTGTAAGCGCGGCTGCCTGGTGCCAAGCGAGTCACAACTGGCTGCTCTATCCACGAGCGGTGTTTCGGGATTTCGCGTTGCTGCTCAATCTCTTTGAGGGTCACGGGAGGCTTGCTTCACCTGAACTGCAGCCACATCTGCTGCTGGGGCCGGCGCACGAGTTGTGCGGCGGCGGATACGCCAGGTCAAAGGTGGGCTCGCTTTCTCAGGTCGTTCTGCCAGCACGGATCGCCGTCGACCTGAACGAGGACCTCATGCTGCGCCTGACACGTTACACTCTCCCGCTTTGTTATGCTTCTTTCGCGGATAACCTCGGAACTGCTACCTGGTCTCCAGCATGGACTCTAAATTGTACTTGTTCTTGTTGTTGTTGTTGTTGCTGCTGCTTCGCCGTACGTCGTGCTGCAGAACTGAAGAACTGCATCCTGCTATACGAAAGATGACTGTCCCGACTTTCATTTCCGTGATGACGAAGGACGATGAAACCGATCAGGCACGATTGCTGCCGCCGACTGGCCCACTCGCTTGCCGGTTGCCTGCAGCGGATTTGGGAAACAGAGTGCCGAGTGCCGTTTCAGGCGGATCTCAGCTTCCCACCTCCCGTGGGCATTCTGCGAATCCTCGTGAGGAGCCCCGTTCATGACTAATTAAAGGCGGCAAAACTGGTAGAAAGTAGAGCTCAACCGCCGGACTCGCTTCATTTTGAAATGGGCTACAAGTGTTTGGAGCTGCAGCGTTGGGAGGAAGGGCACGGACCTTGTGGCCGCCGATTTTGGCCTGCGACCCTCGTCGGACCGGGGGTGTGGGGGGAGGTCAACAGAGCAGGCTGACGTTTATCCTTCTGCAGGACCCATTCGTTGTAATCGAGGCATGTGGCTAAGAGTGCTGAAGAATTTTGGAACGCATTGAGAAGGCATAGCAAGTTTTCATCTTGTGCGGGAAGCCGTTGAATTTCGCATGCCCGACTCTCGTTTCAGCCTGGGTCTAGGTTTACTTGTGTTAGGTTGCCTACCAGGCGCAGCACGGAAGTGGAGTGTGCCCTCCGATGTCAGGTGGGGCAGCAGTGTTGGCAGTCCTCCGTTGTCGAGAAGTCCTTGAACCCTGCTGCGGCCTTGAGCTCCCGGGGCCTTGTGATATCCTACCATAGCAGTCGATGGATAAGGAATCTTTTCTGCTAAGTGAAGGTCTGGGAGCACGGAAATGTGCAAGATTTCTTGGTGTACGACAAGGGCCAGAAGGCCAACATCCTTGTTTACGACAAGGACGTGCAGCGGCGACACTTGGTGATGGTCTCGTTCCAACCGATCTTCCAGGGATGAAGTTCCGTACCATGGCTCTTATACTTCTTGATTCCAGATGCCATTCCAGCAGCACAACCCGTGACAAGTGCGGCGGAAGCATTCCGATGCTTGCTGGCCAGTTGGAATCTAGCAAGACTGCTGTCGGCACCATCCCCTGTAGCAGCACTTCAAACCGCTGCGGGTTCGGCCGCCTCGGCCGACCTGCACAGTGCAGAGAGCATCCTTCGAACCGTAATTTCCGAGCCAGAAAGCCCTAAAGGCATCCAAACGTGGTCGGTCGGTTGTGCGCGGGTGGTGGGGTGTAGTGGGATATGGTGGCGCTGTGGTGGGGGTCTAGAGTCTAGATAGTCTAGATTCGAACGTTCTCTTGTGACTGATCTACAACTCCAGCAGCAGGACAACTATTCTCGCGATGACCTCATCGGATCAGTGTCGCGGGCCCGCGGCATTGGACGTACTGCGAAATGCTTGCTCGACTTGCCGGAGTCCTGGAGCTAGAATTAACGGCCTCGTCGACAGATTGACCTGGAGCCGCTCATGGTTCGGAAGCCGTGCGACACTGACTTTTCACTCAGCCTGGAGCCGCTGCCTCGGGCAATTCAAGAAGACGGCGTGAACAAAACACCGAACCGAGGCTCTGAAGCAAAGCTTGCATTGCACCGCTAGACGTCAGACATCGCCGAGGGGACGGCCAGCCGGCTCTTTGCAGATCTCCTCGCGTTGGCCCGGGGCACGGCTTTGGTTTGGACGAGCGCCCCTTTCAAAGCAAAAGGCATGCATGGCCGCCGACGACCGCACCCAGGTTTGAACTCTCCCCGTCGGCTCCGCGTGATATCCCTGCGGCCGTGGCGAGGTGCCGGACTTATCAAGATGTGCAACCGAATGCGCTTAGAACATGAGTGAACGGTCTTGCAAACTGCCTTTTCGGTGCATTCAATTCTGGGACAAAAGTGCGAAGGGGGCCTTCGCAATTGGTCCTGGCCGTGAAGCTCTTAGGCACAGCGGGAGATCAGGTCAGCATTTTGTGCGGGGGAAGCTTCTGGAACTTGGCCAGGAGCAAGTGATTGGTGATGATGTTTCAGATGTTTTTGACTTCAGAACTTTTCTGTCGGATGCTGCACGAGTGGTCATCCCACACACAGCTGCAACGTGACCTTGATTCCCAAAAGCATCTAGCCTCTGCATGCAATTTGCCCTAGTTGATGTCGGATGGTTTCCAGGTCAATAGTGTTGTCCCGGATTTTTGTGGACCGCGGCACGTACGAATGTGGCTGCGTGTCTGTGGCAAGTTGCAGCTGCTTCGGTCGAGGTCTTTGTCACAAAGAATGCTGTCGGATCTATGGTATGTCGCAGACTGTCCCCACATACTTGTTACTTGTGGATCTCAGAACGCAGCAATCCGGGATTCGTTGTGAAAATGCTGCGCCTGACGTTGTTGAGCGCAGGTATCACGGACCTGTGTTTCTGGCGAGCTTTGTGAGATTGAATATGTGGCTCTGCATCTCGACATGTGAAATGCGCTCGCTGTTGTCGTGCTCGGGACGGCTTGGTTTGCCAGGGGCTCGTTTTGCACTAAGAGAGTTGCAATGGTACCATTAGAATGTTCAGTTTAGCCCTGGCGGGTCCGTGGGCTGGAAGAGTAGCATAAGGGCTTACTCTCAGCGTTCCACACGAGAGTTCTGGAGAAGCTTACAGTAGCCCTGGTCATGACATCCTCTCAAGACTCGAGAGAGCCAGGCCAAAGTCCTACAAGCCTCCTTTCGTCGCGGGCCTTAGAGAATCTGCGCCTGGAGAGATTTAGATCCGTCCTGGCTGCACAGATGCGGCTTCAGAAAATTACCTGGTAGTATGGCTGCATGGCCCTCTACACTACAACGCGAGGTTGTGCAAGTGGAGGTGAGCACAGTCAATGCTGTGCTCACGAGCAGAAAAAGCCAACCGCAACATCCCCAGATTTAGTTGCTGCATAAAATTGAGACAGGTCTGGTTGAAGAGTCAAGGTTTCATGTGAGCTTACCATGGGATTTAGGTTTCAAGGTGCTTTCTGACTCGCGGCTCGCTGTGACGCCAAGGCCCAGCAACATCAAACCCATAGCAGTCGAAGTTGCCGACATCGCACGCAGGTTCGGGCAGACTTGCTCAGTGGATTGCGAGGCTGTTGTTTACAGCAGGCGTAAGAAAGCGACTTGTTGTTTCCTTGTAGTCTCTCTCCACTGCAGCCCCGCTGCGTGCCAGGCTGCACAGAGCTCACCATCCGATCGACCAAATATCGGAGATCACAGGCAGGCGCAGTGGCGGCTGTAACGACTCGGACAGGTGTTTGCCTCACATAGCGTGCCCGCTCACATTCGTTGGCCTTCGTCGCAGCTGTCCTGCAATTGACGTTGCCGCCGCGCTTGGGCTTGGCTATTCCTCAGACTTGGTGCAGGTCTGGAGCCGCGAGCTGTAAGCCTCGCCATTGCGCAAGACTCCCCGAGCACGCGCTTTCTGAAGAGCTGCAACTTAGCTGCCTTCCCTCCAGCGCTTCTGTTTCATGGGTGCTGCTTGCAGGACTCGCCACAAAGCTATGCCCGTGCGAAGCAGGCCTGCGAACGAAAATTGAAGCCGCGACGCGGGTTCTGCTACTGCTGCTAGACTGTTGAAACACTTTCGATTCTCAGCTTCTTTTTTTGGTGCCTCTTTTATTCCCCAAACAGCGAAGTAATGGGGTTCTCAATTGGTTCAAAGAAAGGGATAGTGTGACGCGCCTCGCCGGGGACTAGCCGGATTTGTCTCCCTTCATAATCTCAATTTAACCTGTTGTCTCCGCTCTGTCTGAGTCTGGGAGCCGGATGCTGTGACACGCCTCGCCGGGGACTAGCCGGATTTGTCTCC